ATCCCCTGAATCAATAAGATTATACGGTTGGGGGTGATTGATAAGAGGTAACTTAAGGTAGTCCACCATGGCTGTACTAGCTAAATTCATACATCGATCCGAATTGATAACGATAATGCATCCCTTTCCATGAATGTTTCCCCTAGTATAGAGTGGCGGTTGCACTTGCTTAGGGTGTTGCTCTAGATTAGTCATTCGAGTGCTTAAACCTTTCATGGCAAAGGCTAGAGCATCTATTTTCTGCTCTAACCTCCTACGTGTGTTTGGAACCTCTTCAGTCATCTGTAGATGAGAAACAAAATCTAAAAACAAGAAGATATGTGAGTATTCATGTTAGTGAAACCAAAAAGTTGGCTCGCTCCCTCACTATTCTCAGCTCGCAGGTAAGAGGTGGATTATATAGCTATGGGGGTGCACTACACACTCTTACAAACACACACTCCACTCGTGTATCGCTCGAGGTGGCAGATACTCTCACAAGCCTTTTTCCAAAAAGGAAAATTCTAGTCCGGTACTCAAGTTGATATGGATTCAACCTCAAAGTTTAAGAAAACGTACCTTGGAAGACTTCACAAGCCTTTGAGAGTAAGGGTGTATCGCGAGATAGGTAATAAAATTGAGAGCAAGAAGCAAAGAAAAAGGACAATACGAGCAAAGAAACTAAATAAGATTTGAAAGAAAAAGGAAACCAAAGAAGGAAGTATGGCAGAAAGATGTGCAAGATCAATATCAAAAGATAGAGACCAATTAGGAATCTATCAATAACTCCTTCCAACCTTATACTTTTCCCCTTCCTTGTCCCTCCAAAATTCTCCTACCAGCCAAATTCTTTCCCCAACCTTATTCTTCTTCTTTATTGCTTTTTTTTTCAACTTTCTTGATTTTTTTTTGATTTTTTTGATAAATATCCTCCAAATAATTACTGTAAATATCACCAAAAATTTCAGACCTAGTGGTTCCACACAAGCACTTCAAAACAGAATCAAGAGTTTCAAGAATCACCCAGAAAAACAGAAACGCTGCCCTTACTTCGAAGATCAATATCTCAATGACCGTAAGGAATTAGAAAGTGTATAATATATCAATAGAAAGCCCCAGAAGAGATCCAAAACATATCCAAATTTCAGATAAAACTAACCAGTGGATCTCGACATATAGGTCATTCTTTGAAACCTGTCACAGAATGCGGAAATCTGGACAGGGTGTGATTGCGACGTGATTGCGCGTAAATGCGCTTTGGATATAGGTAATAGTGAGATGGGGTTGTTTTCTTGACAGAATATATGGTAATATGGTGCTTAGGAGGTGTGAGGTCTCGTTGATATTGGACGGGAAAAAGGGAAAACTCTTTCGGGATTGTTTTTCAAGAAAATGGAGAACATGTATCAAGATTCAAGAACACAATCAAGAATGCAAAGAAAATTTTTTTAGGGTTTTTTATGAATAAGACACGAAAAAAAATAGTATGTAAGATAAAAACGAGATAAACCTAGAAAAACAAAGAAACCAAATTTCTAATGATAATGAGATAAACCTAGGCTCTGAATACCAAATTGATATGAATCTAGTCCAAGATTCAAATAAGATGAGTATTGTCCCAAGAATTGCTCTCAATGTAAAGATAGAGATGGATCGAAATACCTTAAACCTCACGAGAACCCCTTTGTCTCGAATCCTCAAAGACTTGGAAGAATCACATGTAGCTTCAAGTACCTCGATGTTGCAATCTTCAATCAACTAGAGTCGGATCTAGTTTCCTTCGATTCAAGAACGAGTCCACGAACCTAAATCTAAGGTTGAAGAAAGTAAGATTGATTCGAGTCCACGAATCAATTTGCTAGTCGAGTCCACGACTAGCCACTAATTGAGTCCACAATTAGCCATAAGGTTTCTTACACAAGTGTAAAGAAAAACTTAAGAATTTTATTGAATTAAAGCCTCCTTCAAACTGGTATGGATGTGCCCTATTTATAGGTATAGGGCAGCATTGTAATCTAAATACAATCGGAAAAAGAGTCCTAAACCTAATCTAGAAAACAAGTAAATAGAGTTTTATTTAGAAAAGGATTTAAGGAATCCTTTCTAAATACAACTAGTGTTTTCTCTTTTATTCCAAACAATTTAAATTAATGATGACCAAAAATAATAGGGCTGATTTGGGCCTAATTTAATCACCAAAATCAGCACTTAAACAATTATAAAAAAGCCTTGAGTTATTCTTCATATTTTGCAAATGGGCTTGACTTGGATTTCCACCATCTTTGAACATCACCAATGAAGAGTTGCCTTAATTGTTTGGACTTGGGCCTTGTGATTGGCCCAATTAGTATTCTTAATGGATCTTCATATGTTGGGCCGCATCAGGGTCTCCAGGGTGCGGGCTCGGGGACGAGGCGGCATCGCAACTTCTACAACAATAACAAGGTTACCAAAAGAGAGCAAACAAGCAAGAGCAGAAGCAACACACAGCTCACCGCGCACCTAGAGTCCTAAGCCTAACACTTAGCTTCTTAAGGTCGCTTAGAGATCTCAAACCACACTTAACCACTTAGAATGTCTAGACTTAACTCTTCCTAGGCTCAAACCTAGGCTCTGATACCAACTGTAACACCCCCCTAAAACAAGCTATAATAACAGCCTTAACACATGCATATAACACAACAAAACACTAGCACAGCGGAAGATAAAAAGGTAACTGGATAAAAGCAAATCCAAACAGGGGTGTTATGCCACGTTTACCAACAATGATAAACGCTACGGCGGTCAAATCTGCATTGTGTACACAACTATCCCAAAACCATAAGTCTATCACTACATCGGCTCACAGGCCAAAAACAAAGGAAAGGTACTAAACTACCAGGCACTAGACATCGCGCTCGAGTAGACATCACCTGAAAGAACACAAAGATAAGCATGGGACGACGCCCGGTCAGCGAATAATGCAGGTAACCCACCAATACATGTGAAATAACATACATAGGTAAGATATAAGTTGTAAAACCATTTTCGAAACGGAATACATAAGTATATAAGTCAAAAATCAAGATCAACAGTCAACACAAGACTCAACACTCTCAACAACCAACACGGGAACACATCCGAAACCACAAAGGTTAACCACAACACAAAAGATAACGACAAGACCATTGGCAACACATGCCTAGGTAACACATGCCTTTGTGACTGCACACGTCACAAGAACAGAACACACAACCACGGCTACACAAGCCCTCGTGACATCACTCATCACGAGTTGATATGCCTTCCTTATGCCCTGTTCCAACCTTATGGCTACCCCCAACCTTATATCTAGTTCCAACCTTTACCTCCAGGACCCCTGTACACCAAGTCCAACCTTATTCCCCCGGGAACTGTCGTTCCCCCTCCAACAGTCCCTCCAACAAAACCACTGATTCATAGTACAGGAGATACCGTTCACACATGGCAACACATGCCCGAATAAAACATGTTATCCCTCATAAAACGTGAACCTTACACAAAGGCCACAACTCCATAATCACGTCACGGCCACCACGAGAACCGCTACAATACCTTGGTGACTAGTGTCCCATACCACTAATCGTGCAATCCAGGTAAAGCCACACACGCGTCACACCACAACAGGATCAATCAACGGATTACAACGAAGGTATGAAACATACTCAATCAAGGAATGGGTCACAGCCCACAACAACAACGATGAATAACACAAGTTATCATCAACCAAACGGAAAGTACGAACAACACACACGCTAGCATTTAAACACCGAACTAGTATGCTTATCAAACGGGTAAAACAAAGATAGTTCCGGAGAACACACAAGACTCATCACGGTTCAACGAAACACAATGTTGAACACTTAGCACGATTCAAGACACCAAAGACCTACACGGAATCCTACCATATAGTTCTAGACATACGAAACATCAAGAAGACACTCAAATAGTTCCACAAAAGAACATCGTGAAGTCAAAAGACCAAATACCGAGTCAAAAGAATCAAGGGGAACAAATCCCAAACAAACACCACAGTGTTCCCCGCGGGTAGACCCACCGGTAGGCTCCCACCCGTGGTTCCGTCCGCGGGTACACTACCCACCGGCTACATGTTCCCCGCGGGTGGGCGGCGGGTGGAGCTCTCCCCGTCGTTCTGCCCGCGGGTACATACACCTGTGCAAAAAGATCCTTTCGGGGATTTTCAACTCCAAGCTCAAATTCAAGTCCAAAACATGCCAAATCTCACCCAATATAACAAAATGACTTGAATCATAGGAAATGCCAAGCAATGGCACACAAGAACCTAAACACAAGCTCTAGATATGCATTTTCACAAGATAAATGCATAAACACTCACATTTCATAGCAAAACACATGTAGAATCCAAGAAATCACATATAGGTAAGCAAAATAGGTTTTGTAGAGCATGGGTTACCTCTTGCAGACTAAAAGACTTCACTTTACACCTCAACAAGCTCTCCACAAGGCTCACTTTCCAAACCCACTTCAAGAACAAACCAAAAGATCATAAAGATCCTACTTTTAAGAAAAAGACACCTAAGATGGAACCAAAAACACAAGATAGGCTTAGATCTTACCCTCATAGATGCCCAAATAGGGGAAAGGTTGAATCTTGAAAGCAAATCTTGAAGTCTTGGCAAGGTCTCAACTTAACTTGGAGGAAAAGCCACTCACCTTTCTGGAGAGAAGGTATAGCTATATTTTAGAAATTGTAAGGGATAGAATGGAGGTGTCTTCTAGGTTAGGTTACAATACTAACACTTGGTGAAAGGTCAAGAATACCCTTACTAACATTAGAAAGGTGTAAGGAACAAGGGAACTCCCTTCAAAGCTCAAGGTACAACTTGACTTTGGAGTTGACTAGTCAATACTAGTCCCCAACTATTAAATTTCAGGATTTTAGAAATTAATTCCTCAATTGAATAGGATTAATTACTCAATTAATCCATGAATTGAATTTGGTTTTTTGGGGTGTCACAAAGTTCACAAGGCTCTCACAGATATGAAACCTTATAAGGCTCCAGGACCAGATGGTTTTCCCGCGGCCTTCTACCAGAATTTATGGGATTTAACGGGCGATAGTGTGTTCAACATGGTCGAAGAGGCGCTAAGGTCAGGCTGTCTCCCGGAGGGAGTTAATGATACTCTAATCGTGCTCATACCAAAAGTAAGAAACCCGAAGACCATCAAGCAGTTCAGACCTATTAGCCTTTGCAATGTGAGCTACAAGATTTTAACGAAGACTATTACAAATAGGCTGAAGAGCATCCTTCCTAAAATGGTATGCCCGTTTCAGAGTTCCTTTGTTCCAGGAAGACAGATCTCGGATAATATCATTATTTACCAGGAGGTAATGCATACCATGCGTGAGAAGCGGGGAGCGGCTGGTTTAATGGCCATCAAACTCGACCTCAAGAAAGCCTATGACCGGTTGTCATGGGACTTTATTCAGGACACCCTTGAGCGGGCAGGTTTTCAGGAAGATTGGACAAGGATTATTATGGCTTGCATCAGGTCCTCTAAGCTTTCCATTGCTTGGAATGGGGAATGACTTAGCCCGTTTAGCCCGAGCAGAGGCATTCAGCAGGGGGACGCCATGTCCCCGGCCATCTTTGTCCTATGCATGGAACGCCTCAGTCACTTAATTGTGTCAAAAGTCGGTAAGTGTAACTGGAAAGGCATTAAATTTGCAGCCGAAGGACCAACTTTGTCTCATCTTTGTTTTGCAGATGATATGGTGCTATTTTCGGAGGCATCACTTGATCAAGTGGAGATAATTCAGATTTGTTTGAACCGTTTCTGCATGGCATCTGGCCAGAGAATCAACCTGGACAAAACACACATTCTTTTTTCATGCAACACTGAGCCGATATTTAGGACCTCGGACGATTTGGAATAAGGGAAACTAGTGACCTCGGACGATATTTAGGGATACCCTCGCTTCACGGCCGTGTGACATGCAGTACTTTTAGTGGCCTCCTTGAGAGGGTCTCAGCACGCTTGGAAGGGTGGAAGACAAAAACTCTTTCATTGGCAGGCAGAAATGTGCTGGCCAAGTCGGTTTTAAATGCAATTCCAGTTTATTCGATGCAAACAGCCTATCTCCCTAAAAGTCTATGCCTGGAGCTGGAGAAACGAACCAGGAAATTCATTTGGGGCACGAGTAATGCTGGGGGAAACAAAATCAGCCTTGTCAACTGGCAAATGGTCACGTCAGAAAAGGATACAGGTGGGCTTGGCATCCGCCGACTTCATTAGTTAAATAGTACTTATATGGTCAAACTAGGTTGGCGCCTCCGAAAGGAAGCAGGCAGCCTGTGGGCTCGTGCACTGGATGCTAAGTACAACTATAACAATTTTAGCTCTGGCCTGAACACGGGGAGGAAGAAAGTATCGAATACTTGGAAAGGGATAACGGCTGCTGGAGAGTTCTTGGAAAAGGGAACCACTCGTCTGGTTCGTAATAGAGAAACCACACGTTTGTGGATGGACCGCTGGTTGTTGCCGTTTCCTTTGTATGACCAGTTACTAAGACCGTTGAGCCTGCCGGATTTGTACGCTAATGTTGCTGACTATTGGGATCGACACAGAGGATGGAAATGGGAGAAGTTGGAACGAGTGCTCCCAAAGGAAACGGAGGAACGCCTTGCAAGCTTCATTCTGGCTGAAGGGAATGTAGAAGATGACATAGGCTGGGAACCTGACGAAAAAGGGCGTTTTTCGGTGAAGACTACGTACGAGATGATCGCGACTGATGTGCAGCCCCAAATCGATAACGACTGGAACCGCATTTGGTCGCTTCGCCTTCCTGGGAGAATTTGTTCTTTCATCTGGCTAGTGAAGCACGGGAGAATTCTCACTAATGCTGAGCGGGTACGTAGGAACCTATCAACTGACCCCATGTGTTTTTGTTGTGCAGGGCAGACAGAAGACCTGAATCACCTTTTCAGGTGGTGCAGAGGTGCGAGAGATATCTGGGAGGATGCTCTCCCAAGGCGAACAGCGACGGCTCTTAGCAGACTCCAAGTGGAATGAATGGTTTTCTGCAAATCTCCGAGGTGACACGAAGATAGGTCTCAACGAAGATTGGCCGGAGCATTTTGGCAGCCGCCTGTGGTGGCTATGGAAATGGCATACTGAGGAGGTGTTTAGATATGATTCGACTCCGATGATTCAGAAGAAGACTTGGCTCACCAGCTATGATGCGGAAGTGCATTCAGCGTTTGCAGCTCGCAGGTCTTCGGGGAGTACGTCCGCAACTACTGCTGAGTCGCCGGTAGGCTAGGGAAGGCCGGGGCCTGGTTGGATATCGCTCAATGTCGACGGCTGTCGGAAAGGGAGTGGATCAGCAGGATGCGGGGGCATTCTGAGGGATTCCAATGGGGACTGGTGTGGAGGCTTCACATGCAATATTGGACGTTGCCAAGTTGACGAGGCATAAGCATGGGCAGTTCTTCAGGGCATCCATTTGGCAAGGGATTGTGGTGTAAGGAACCTGGTGGTTGAAAGTGATTCTCTTGTCATGATTAATAGCTTGCACCGTCGCCCTGAGCAGCAAAACAATATTATTCAACGCTGCATTTATGAGGCTCAGAGCATGGATGAGGTAATCTTCAAGCATGTATGGAGAGAGCAGAATAGAGTGGCAGACAAGCTTGTCTCTTTGTCGTTGTTGCACCAGATTGGCACTCTTCTTTGCCGTCACCTCCCCAGGAGGTGCTCGAAGCCATTCACCAAGATAGAACAGGAATGAAGCTCTTTAGGAAAAATACACTGGTTAACACCAGGGGAGGAGCTAGAGTTTAGTTTGTTCTGGGTACCACCCTCTTCTTGATCAAAAAAAAATATTTGAATTTGAATTATATTTTTAATTTAAATATAATATTAATTTTATTATATTTGAATTAAATAATTATAATTTAGTTTGAATTTGAATTAGGTTATAAAATAATGAACTTAGACTTGATTTTGGGCAAGGTTCATTTTTTTAAATAATTAATTAATTAATTAATTAATTAAAAGGGGGAGGTTGTTGAGGAATGTTGGTTAGGTTTCTAATATAAATACATCCTTCATTTTCATTCCATAACACAACTTGAAGACTTGAGAGCTTGAAGGCATTGAAGAACGCTTGACAATTGAGAAGACCTGAAGAGTTGAGAGCTCATTGAAGGCATTGAAGAACGCTTGAAGACTTGAAGGCATTTTTGTTGATTTTGCAGACAATTTGAATCCATTGCAGGTACTTTGGAGCTTTGCAAAATTGATTGTCTCGAATATCTTGAAGTCTTTTGAAGGCATTTGAGAATCTTAAGGCAACTTGAATCCATTGCATGTGTTTTGAAACTTTGCAGGGTTGATTATTTCTAAATTCTTGACGTTCGTTGTTGAAAGTCACGCCAATTGAATCCCGGAAGCTACGTCACTTGAATCCCGGAGGCACACGCCAATTGAATCCCGGAGGCTACGCTATTTGAATCCCGGAGGCACTTCAATAGATAACGTCAGTGAAGAATCAAAGGACTAGACAGAGATTTTGTACCTGCACATTGAATTATACACACGCTGTACACAGAAATTTGTGAATATATACAATTTCGATATTTTTTGTGTTTACAGATTTTAATTGCCCCCTTGAGACTTGTCGGGACATGCCGCTTCTCTTAATCCGCGTAAAATCACATTTATGTAGCGCTTCAATTGAAAAACAAAAGGGTTACAGTGAATACTGAGTATATCACATTTCTGTAGCCTTCTCTTAATCCGCTTAAAATCTATCTATTTAACCAATTTAAGCTCTACTTAACAACATTTATTGAAATAATTTCAAAAAATAAATAAATATAAAATAAAATAATCCAAATTACCTTCAGTCGCCGGCAATGGTGGCTGTGTCGGCGGTGTGGCTGACGGAGTGCGTTGCAGTGGCCGTTGGCGGCGGACGGTGGAGTTGCGCGGTTGGCAACGGACGGTCGGTGGCGTCACTCTGCTTGTTTGCGGTCGTTGCTGTGGACTGAGGAGGACGGTGGAGCGATGAGGAGAACGGTGGAGTGAGGAGGACGGTGGAGCGATGAGGAGGGCGATGGAGCGATGGATTTGAGAAATTTGGCGATGAGTTCGTCGATTTTCAAATTTGGAGATTTGGGTACGTATAGTCGACAAGAAAAAAAGAAAATAAAAATAAAAACCACGCGGCACCTTCTTTAAACGGTGCCGCGGATTCTAATTTTATTAAAATAATAATAAAATATCCACGGCACCTTTTCCAAAAGGTGCCGCGTATTCCCTTTTTATTAAAATATTAATATCTGCGGCAACCGTTTGTCGTGGGTGCCGCGGATTCCCTATTATTATTTTAATAATATCATTTCCGAGGCACCTTCATTGTGTAAGTGACTCGGAAAGTAGGCGTCCATTCTAAATTTTGTACTAGTGGATCCACAAGGCTGAGCAGCGTCAAAGTTAGGCGAGAACCTCCAACAGCGGTGGCCTCCGGCAAAGAGATTTCACGTTACTCGTTCCACGAGATTGGCAAGAAGCCCTAGGCTCCTAGTAGCATCAACGATGTAGACTCCGGCGGACAATCCCGGCGACCATCAACAGATGAAAACTACGACAGACAGGTGGCAAAACAAAAATAAAAAATAAAAAAATAAAAAAAATCGTTGAAGCAGTTGGTGGGTTACTGCTAGCGTTTAAAGTTGCTCCTTCTCGTTTTCGTGTTTTCGTATTGCAGCCATACGTGTATGTGTTGTCATTCCTGCATATAAAAGGTTATGCATAAAGGAAAAAGGAGAATAAGAATGGAAGTTACCTTTTTGAAGGGCAGAGTTCCGGTTGTTAGCTCTTCTCCTCTTCCTCAGTTTCTCCTTGTGTTTGTGGGAATTTGTAAGTTGATGTATGTATTTATAGTGCCTGGCGAAGGAATTGGAGATGGAGTTGCAGTCTGAAATCCCAATAGGATTAAGATAAAACTTCTGCAACGGGAAACAGTTTTGCCACTAAAAACAAGTTTCCTTCTAGTGGTGGGATTCGTATGCTACGGGAGTTTCGCCTGAGAGAATTTTGAGACTAATTCAGTCATATTTTTTTAATGGTCATCACTCATCAGTGTTGAAGAGGTGATGGGCTTGGAACTTTTAAATGGGTCAATGAATGTTGTATAAGCTCAATATTCAACATGACAGAGTCTTCATACCTTTTGGCTCTGGGCTCATGGAATTGCACTATGACCAACTGCATCTTAAAATAATTTTGGCTCAAGGAATGTTATGCATGTGTTTTGGGCTCATGAAATTAAGATGCACCTTGATGAATTTAAAGGACAGTTTTTTAAATTTCGAGACTTTCTCACTCCAAGCGCATCAAGCGGCATGTCCCGACAAGTCTCAAGGTGGCAATTAAAATCTGTAAACAAAAAATATTGAAATTGTATATATTCACAAATTTCCGTGTACAGCGTGTGTATAATTCAATGTGCAAGTACAAAATCTCTGTCTAGTCCTCTGATTCTTCACTGACGTTATCTATTGAAGTGCCTCCGAGATTCAA